GTGGCTCAGTCATTAGGCGTCTGCCTTCGGCTCAGGTCATGATCCCAGGGTCCTGGGATCGAGCCCCGCATCAGGCTCCCTGCTCGGCGGGAGGCCTGCTTCTCCCTCTCCCACTCCCCCTGCTTGTCTTCCCTCTCTCACTGTGTCTCTCTGTGTCAAATAAATAAAATCTTTAAAAAATAATTAATTAATTAATTTAAAAAATAAAGACAATAGATCAGAGAGGCTCTAAACTCAGACACCAGGTGCGGTTGAGGCCAGAGTGACCAGCATATTAAAATCAGATGGATTAAGTGAAAAATCTTATCCTGAATATCTATATTTTGACTACGGTGACCACTCCAACATCTGTCTACAGAGAAATAACAGTAACACATCCCTGAAACAAGAATAAAAAGCTATATGAAAGCTTATTCATAGAAAAGAGATATTTTGGAAATTAAAACCATAGTAAAAATTTAAAATTCAATGGACTTATTCTAATGTAAAGTTGAGATATTCTCTCAGAAAGGAGAGCAAAAAGAGAGAGAGGAAAGATAAGGAAGACAGTGACTCAGTCTAAGAGATCCAACATATGAATAACAGGAGTTTCAGAAAAAGAACACGAAGGCATCAAAGGAAAGAAAATCAGAGTCATACAAGAAACATTGCTAGAACTAAGTAACATGAGTTTCCAGATTGAATGAACAAAACAAGGACCATAGCAGGGCATGTAATCTTGAAATTAAAGAACATCAAAAATGAAGAGAGATTTTAAATGTTTTCAGAGAGAGAAAAAAACAAAGGCTCGGCAATTAGAATAGCACCACATTTCTCAATAGCAACATACAGGTGCTAAAGAGAAACAGAAGAATGTTCTATGTTAAGCACTGTTGATAATATAGCAGTGAGTGAAACATACCAAAACCCCTGCCTTCATGGAGCTTACATTCTCGACAAACAAAACGTAAAATTTACATAACGTGGAGCACCTGGGTGACTCAGTTGGTAAGCATCCAACTTTTTATTTCAGTTCAGGTCATGATCTTAGGGTCATGGTATCGAGCCCCATGTCAGGCTCCACACTGAAAGCAGAGCCTGCTTAAGATTCTCCCTCTCTTAAAAAAAAAAAAAAAAAAATTTAAATAATGCTAGGTAAGAGATAAGTACTTCAGAGAAAAATAATGGGGAGTATTATTTTTCTGGGATGGAGATGGGGGTAGCAATTTTTTTAATTAATTTTTTTAGAGAGAGTCGGGGGGGCAGAGGGAGAGGGAGCAGGAGAATCTCAAGCAGACTCCGTGCTGAGCACAGAGCCCGACGTGGGGCTTCATTTCATGACCCTGAGATCATGACCTGAGCTGAAATCAAGAGTTGGCTGCTTAACCAACTGAGCTACCCAGGCTCCCCATGGAGGGTAGCAATTTTAAATAGGGCTATAAGGGATTTAAGTAAAATCAAATGAAGATGAGGAAACTGAAGCTCAAAGAGTTAGTAACTTGGTCAAGGTTATGGAGTTAATAAAACTAATAAAAGTACAGCTGAACACAGGAAGGCACCTGGAATCTTGGTGCATATTATAAAAGCTATTCAGACTTATTGAGACTCTGGGATTGGTCAAAACCAAGCTAAATCTGTTCTTTTAGACAGCTCTGAGAAGTACTGGGGTGTGCCCATTCATCGAGATACAGAAAGAAAACATTACATTACATTTGTGTTTATTTTTATTTCAGGCCAAAGAATCCCAAAAAACAAGAAAGATTCTTAGGAGGAGAATATGGTGGAAACACTTCAGAAAGATCATAATCCTCACTGTGGTAATTCTCCTTTCAATTATCATCATTCTTTTAAGTACAAATGTAATACCAACCTAACCCTTTTTCTCCCTATGCCCAGCAGTTACCAATAAATGGTTATGTGTAAACATAGAATTCCACAACCAACAATTATGAAAGCATTCTCTGGTGGTAAGAAGACTGGAGGAAGAGGGGGTTGGACATTTTTCCTCGTCCCTTCAGTGTGCCTTATTGACTCTTGTCCTTGTACCTCTTCCATTTCTATAATCCCATTTGTTTTTTCCCACTGCTCCAGCTACTTCCCCAGCCTCTCTTCCCTTTGTTAAGATTAAGAGCACAAACCGTGGAATCAGACCACTGAAGTTTAACTCCACTCGGCCACATACCAGCTAGGTGACTTTGGACAAGTTATTTAACCTGTGCCCCTGTCTCCTCATCTGTAAAATGGAGCTAATAATAATACTTCATAGAACTATATCTAACACACAGTAAGTGCTATCTAAGTGTTAACTATTACTTAATAGGAAAAAATTATTGCATTTGTGACATTGATTAAATCTCTATTATCTTGCTCCTTAGAAGAAAAATGACTGTGAACTTATAATTCCCTTAGAAATAGGAATCTTAACATGAGTACACAGTACAGAAATAGACATTCACCTCTTCTATTCTTTCATTTGAAATGACAACTCAAGCCATTGTTTTATACTAGACACTTCGTTGTGTAAAAAATTTTAAATTAGGAAGCTGTATTATTTCCCTAATAAATCACTGGTCCTATTTTACCACCCTAACAGCCTTTTTTTTTTTTTTTTCACATGATACACTTCATCCAGTAACCTCAAATCACTAAGATTTCTAATAACTAAAGCATCCAACTTCACTTTGCAGTTGTTAACAAGGCTTCATGAGTTCCTTCGGCTCAGGTCATGATCCTAGGGTCCTGGGATGGAGACCCCGCATCCGGCTCCCTGCTCGGTAGGGAGCCTGCTTCTCCCTCTCCCTCTCCCTCTGATACTCCCCCTACTTGTGCTCGCTGTCAAATAAATAAAATCTTAAAAAGAAAAAAATCATTTAATGGGGTGCCTGGGTGGCTTAGTTGGTTAAGCATCTGCATTCAGCTCAGGTCATGATCTTGGGGTCCTAGGATCAAGCCCCACATCAGGCTCTGCTTCTCCCTTTCCCTCTGCCCCACCCTGTGCTCTCTCTTCTCTCAGATAAAATCTTTTAAAAAAATAAAATTAAAGGGGCGCCTGGGTGG